TTTTTTGTAGTCATCGAAATCTCTAAACAAATTCATCTTACCAGAATCGAATACTGAAAATACTCAAAAAAAGTTGTTCATTGCTGTAGAAACACAAAAATGATAGTGATGATAATAGCAGTAGTGGCAGCAATGTGACCGAAATGCAGATCAGTGATAATAAATGTGATAACAGCAATCGTAGCGTTACTCGTTGTACTAGTGACATTTTATATCTCACTGTTAATGATTATAATAGTGGTGATAATGGTATTGATAGTGATAACAAGTACAGTTGCAATTGGGTGATTGGATCAATTACGAATGCATAGAGGACAACGAAAGTAACGCAAATGCAGTTCATCACCTCGTTTATGATTGGAAACGAATCGATGACAGACCATGCGTAGCAAAAGTTATCGATGAAAAATTCGTGAATGTCAGTCAGTCATTTTCTTGTTACTTCTCGATATTTTGATCAGCTACCTGTTCAGTCATTACATTATGACGACGATCAGAATCGAGATTATGACGACCTATCCGAAATATTCGTTTCGTCGACATTCTTCTGTCATCTCTTAGGAAATCGTTGGAACGTTTTTCTGAATCACTTCGAAAACATTCTGAATATTCATTCGTACCATCCAACATCATATCATTTACATTCTCATCAAATTCATTCATACTGAACATCACTTCTGAATGATTGTTTAAGTTACATACAAGTATAAGGCTTTTGGATGACATTGGTTATGAGAGCGATTCGTTGAGAGTACCACGAGGATATCGCGTGGCTGAAGGCGATTTGTGTGATAGAATTTTGGTGAAGAACACAAGAAGGGTCAGAAATAGCTTGGCCGAGCAACATCAAATCGATGTTCGTTTGCAATTATTTATTCGTTATTTTGCGAAACGAAAAATTTTCTTGAACATTTCAGGAAGTTTCGAATTTCATTTCGAATTTGTTCACTTCATCTTACAGTTAAATCAGTTCTCATCTGAATGGTAAATGAATTTTGATAACATTCATTGTTTGCGTCCTCTTATAGGTAGTATTGGAGTTCAATGATGAGATATATCCGGGTTTCTATTGGATCGTTACTGCCGTCTATAACGATGGTATCTCGTTCGAGGTGAGATTCATTCTTGTCGAGAATGTGAAGAGTGTGAAAACATTGTGAATATTCTGCACTGTTGATTCTTTTGTTGTAAAGAAATCAAAAATAATCAGTGATGATAGTCGTAACATTGCTATCGACAGAATTTAGTTTTTTTCATCTAAATTTCTGTTTGATCATAAATCTTTTCCTCATTTATCACAATTCTGTCAACAACTTTGAATGGAGTAATTGTTCCCTACTGAGCAGATTGACGACGGTGACACTGAGGATATTAGTGAGACAACTCGTAACGACAATAAAAATGATCAAGCTCAAAGTAGTCGTTCGACTGAGGAGGTTAGCACGACCACAGATTCAACAGAAAGAAATTCAATTATTCAGAATGCTTCTTTTTTAAATATTCAAACGTTTTGGAATTTCTAATGTATTCTTTTTTAAATTTATCTCTTTGCATCAAGAGATAAACATATCAAGGAATGGATAAGTTTGTAAGTATTGAAAGGGATTCGATATGTTCAGGTAGAGAAACGAAAATCAACTGAGAAGGAAATTGTAGCAGAAATGAATCAGCCTCGAAGGGTTCCCCAACTAAAGGTCATTCTATGTTTCGTATAAATTTACTATTTGCGTTAACCTTCGCAATAGTAATGATGTTATTCGTTCACCGGAATAATGATCGAAATCTTGACCGCAATGATGAAAGCGATAGATGGCAGTGTTGATTTAACAAGTCTAATCATTATATTGGGAATTTTTTAGGCCGAAGCTGATCAGAGGGAACGCGATGATGTGTGCAGTCGACTCCTTGAAAAAGTGAATGCTGTCAAGAATAATGATCTCTTCGATTATTCATTATCTTTTCTTATTGAAAAAATATTTTGTGCATAAAAAT